GGGTGCTAGGAAAAGAGAAAGAGAGAGAGAGAGAGAGAGAGAGAGAGAGAGAGAAATACATTGATGTGCGAGAGACACATCAATTGATTGACTCCTGTTCTGCCCTTTGGTCCAAGGCCCAACACTCTAACCACTGAGAAAAACTGGCCAAGGCTTGCTTGCTTGCTTACTTATTTATTTATTTATTTAATTGGAGAGAGAGAGAGAAAGAGAGAGAGAGAGAGGAGAATGGGGGGGGGCGGGGGAGACATTGATCAGTTGCGTCCCATATGCGCCTTGACTGGGGATTGAACCAGAAACCTAGGTACGTGCCCTGACCTGGAATGGAATCTGCAACCTTTTGGTGCGAGAGGTGATGCTCCTCTCAACTGGGTGAACCACTTAGCCAGGGCCAACTGAATCTTATTTACTCAGCATCTTAGAAGACCCCGAAATCAACTTGAGCTTATTTGGTGAGCCCGTTGGAAGTCTAGTCACAGCTTGAAACTCCTAGATCCCTCCAAAGGGTTCCAGTGGAAGGTGAAGCTCAAAACTCTCAAATTGCTACAGAGGAGCCCAGAAAGAACTGTATAGCCCAGAAATAGGCAGGAAAACCCAAATTCCAACAAAATGTGGTGAAAAAAAGAGCTAACCTTGACCAAGTGTCTTAAAAGTTTCACAGGATTTTTACATTTTATGAGTCAAGAATGTGACTAACCCCAAGTTATTGAGTTTTGGTGCAAAGAACGGAACTTAAAAATTGAAATTGCCACTTGAGGTGTTCTCTTCCCCTTCAACCTTAATTTTAAACTGGATTCCTTTATTTCAGTTGCTTTCAAACTGTAAAGTGTTCTGTGGAGATATATCTTGGTGAACCAGAACTGGAGTGAGAGTGGAAGGCAGGACTGGGGAAGAGAGATTTAAAAGATAGAGTCTAGGTTCCCCATTCTCAGAATCATTTCTCCTTTGTATATTTTATACGTTTGGCTTCCATCTAAGATGGTTGAGGGGAAAGTCCAGTTTAAAAATAAGAAGGTCTGAACTATTACTATATGCTTAACGTTTTGAGGAAGGAGGTCGTAGTCTCCAAGCTGTAGTTCTTGTGACCAGCTACCCCTGTAGTTTTTGTACCTGCTTTGACCCATAAATTTATATACTATTAAGGGCTAATCTCTGATTTCACTGATGTTTTATTGCCACCTCCTTTGAGTTGATAATACTTGACTTTATTTTGGAGGTATTCAAGTTCAGTTCACTAAAATCACAAACCTCCAGGACAGCGGTTCTCAACCTGTGGGTCACGACCCCTTTGGGGGTCGAACGATCCTTTCACAGGGGTCACCTAAGACCATCGGAAAACAAATATAAAATGACATATTGTTTTGTGATTTTTTTAAATGTTATCTTTTAATTATTATTTTTTAAAAATTAAATCTTTATTCAGATTATT